GCGGCGGCCAGAAATGGCGCGCGCGGCGGCAGGGCGGGGGCGGAGCCGGGGCGGCCCGAGCGCGGCCTCGGCCCCAATTAGGGGGTGTGTGCGCAGAAGCCCTCGCTCATTTTTACGCTGGTATAAATCCGGTGATTTCTGTACCATAGGACCATGCTATCAAACCCATTCCTACGGGCAGAAATAAATACACTGAATATACTGATGTTTATTTTCTAGTGGATTTCTGAAAATCACTCATAGACTTTTCTTCTTAGAGCGGCTGCAGCTGCCAGAGCAACAAATCCACTGCGTACAATTCATTTGAACTGAAACGCTATCACATAAAGTATTGGTAAAATGCTGAAGGAGAGTGCTACTTTTTTTCCCACAGAAATACTGCAGTTTATAATTCTGGACTTGCCATTAGAGCAAAGCTTTTGAACTAGTAAATTTAAAATAAATTGCAGAACTGTCTCAGAAGGACTAATTTTTAAGCTGGTTCAAAGCTGTATGCCATTCAAAAATATTATGGAGGCAGCTACTGTAAATATGTTATTTCCTCATACATAAATAGATGAAAAGGATACATAAGATTTTCTCAAATATTGATTGATTTTAACATAAATAATTTTTATTTAATCAAGTTTTTTTTCCTTTCTTGCAATACTGATTAATTTTTAACTTTTCATTTCAAAATCTGAGACATTGTATGTTTATAGTAATGTAATTATAATTTCTAATACTGCGCAGGTCCAGGTCAGCTAAAAGCATCCAGTAAAGGTTGCAGTGACTTTCAGTTCTGTGTCTATGAGTTTTCCTTACCCTTTACCCTAAAAAGACTTGCAGCAGAACTGTGTCATAGTACAATGTGCCAAAATCTACACCACGTTCAGAAGCTCTAATCCATCTCCCCATCTAAGCACTGGGCAGAGAGCCAAGGACAAGCAGCCCTTCCTTCCAGCTTCCACCACGATGGGATTTTGGCCATCTTAGAATAAGCAGTTTACCACAAACAGCCTAGGATACAATCAGTAATGAAGCTAATGAACCGATTGTCTGCAATTAAATTCTTAAGCCACCCGTATTAGTTTGAATAAAAACGGAGAAAAAGTTGAGGACAACTCATTTTATGCTTATAATAAATTCTGATGGCAGAAAGCATTTTTATTTCTATTAGAGAACGCCTTCTTCAACTCTGGCCTCAGGCAAGATTCCATCTTCATTCGCAACATCTGCTTTTAGCTGACCAGACTTTAAAGTTTAAAGCAGCAATACAAAGACTTTGTTTTTTTATAGCTAGTTTTTCTTGGATTCCCCTCCCTAGGTGACATCTCCCTCAACACATACACACACAAATCACATAAAATATATAGCAAAGCAGTCTCTCAGCAGCTCTGAGACAGTTTAATTTTTGATTTCCCCTAAGTCTAACATCTGATCTGCCATATGCTTTGTGTCTTTCAAGCTCATAGAGATCACATACTAAATGATAAACCTGCATGTTCTGGAGCAGCGCAACTAGAAAATCAGGAACACCAGATATTGGTCAGTGATCCATATGAGAACAAAATAACATTCATACGTACTAAATACAAATCTGTTAAAAGCTTCACTTTTCTCTGGAAGTTACAAAATGAACAAGTCCCTGCAAACAAATTAAATGCAGAAAAGTATCAAGACATAAGTGAGATGGCGTTTGCAAGTGTGTTCCCTCAGTTTCCTTTGTTCAGCCTTCTCCACAACTCTACAGAAATGACAAAAAAATGGTCTCTGAAAAGCACCCTACTTCATAACAGAAATTACTATGAAGTATTACAAAGTCTTAAAATCAGAGGCAAATCTTAAACTGTTTATCTTCACCATATGCTTGAGACTGTGGCAATGATTCATTTATTTAAATAAAATTTTAATAGATTCAAGTTCAAAAATATTTACAGCCATAACTTTTTTTTCAGTCAAGATTGGGAAATAAAAATATAGCATAAACTAAATTGATTAGGTTATAAATTCTGACATAGCGGGGGAAGAAAAGCACAGGCAAATTTCTTTCCTTTTATCACATTGACTAGGGATCACAAATTTGGACCTGGCAATGCACCACCCTTGCAGAAAAGTTAAACACATGAGTAAGTTTACTGATGGAAGCTGAAATTACTCATGTGCATAAATGTTTGCAAGGCTGGGCCTTGAGAGAGCTAACGAGAGCTCCCCGCGGAGGCTGGCAGCGCGGCTCTGCCTGTCAGCCAGGAGTGATACAAGGCCCTGGTCCCCAGGGCCCCAGCCGGCAGCTGCTGCTGCTGCGCCCCAAGCCAGGCTTCCCCAGCAAGGTCGGGCCTTGAGCTTTGGTGTTGTGTAAATAAATTAAAATATACTTAATATGATTTGTTTTGTTATTGGGGTGGATAATTTTTTCTTGTTTTCTTTACTTCTTTACCTTCATTTCCTTTTTTTTGCTTCTCATCCATACATGTGTTAAGACATGAACTCTGCCGGCTGAACCCTTTGAACCTAAACTAACCACCAAGGACCACTTTCATTGTGTATAATATTATCACCCTACTTCAAATTAGCAAAACAAGAATATTTCACATTTACAATTCCACTTTAATCAAATTCAGCATGTATAACACATTTTTTATGTCACTTAGTATTTAGTGACATTAAATTTTTGCACATAGGCAAAAGAGATAATATTGAGTATAGACTCTGAAAATTCATGTAGCTATTTCCTTTTTTGTTTATTTCAATCAAAGACTCAGTTGATAAAATGAGACGTATGTAGAAGGTAACCCAATGAGGTTGTCACTGGGGTGGTGTGTCTCCTAAGAGGCAAGTCACTGCTGTTTCCCTTAAACATATGTTATCTCATTGACAGTGTATGTGGAGTCAGGTTTTGTATAATGACAAATGAATTTGATAGCTGTATCTGCAGCAACTATTACAGAAAATACAACAGTTCCTGTTCCATCAATCAAGTCTTTTTTTTTTTCAGAAGGAAGGGGGAAAAGGTCTTTTTTTTTTTTTTTAACTTGAGCTATTATATTGAAGTCAGATCTCAGTAGCACAGGATACAACAAAACTCTCTTCTATTTTGTTAGTTCTTCTCTACATTACTGTGAATCAATGATATATACTAGTATGCAATGGATAACATCTGGATTCCGAGTCCAGATGGCTCATTTGCTTTGACTATATTTCGCATCAGCCTAATTTCTTGTTTTGGATTCAAAACTGCAATAATATCATTGAAAAGAATGATTTAGAAAACCCTGAAATGTAATATATTTATAAAATTCTCTTTTTTCTTAGCTAAGTGTATTTATAAAAACTTCAGACTACTTCTTCAAAAATTTTCTCATCTGTAGAAAAGTCAAATATTTCTAATAATTTTTTTTGAAGGTTCCCATTTCTGCTGTGAGTTTTATGCAGACAGGGGACACTAAACTACCATGTTTTCTTGCCGCATTGCGAACCTATTTGTAATTTTATCAAACTCATTCTCTGGAGAAAATTGTGCTTTTTGTCCAACTTTTGACATTGTAAGCAGTGTTTATGAATTTAATAGTGTAGAGTATCAGCATTTAAAAAAAGAATTAGTTATCTTCATAGCTCACCTCAACTCAGTAAATAGATAAAAATTTTCAATTAAGCCCAAAGTACTCATCTTCC